TAGTAGTAGTAGCAGTAGTAGTCATAGTACTAGTAGTAGTATGCAGGCTGTATGAGTTGCAGGTCCGAAACTCGCTTAAAGATCGTCTGGGCGAATGCATTCCAATAGAAGTTCAGTTCTCTAGTACCCTCACCCCCAACAGTCCTTTGCTCCAGACATCAAATGCTGCGCTGTCATTCGACTTTTTACTGCCCATGTGTCTGTCTGATCGATGCTGTTCCAAAAAGGTCGAAACCATTATGTTTCTTTGCTGGATGGGGGAGCTGTGCATGAGTCTCGGGTGTATCTTATCGTTTCAGGGTTTTTGTGGTCTGACGGGTTGAGACATATAGAGGAGTCTCGTGGAGGTTGACTTCCCAAGGAATGCTCTCTTCTTCAACAACCAGGCCCAAAAAAGTTCAAAGTTTTTCGGATAGACCTAATCTATAGGGCCAAAAAGTTTCAAGTTCTCCCATTGGCTAACTAAGAATGCGGTTCGTGGCACACCTCTCCGGTTTGGAATATGAAGTTGCGCCGGGGGGTTGAAGGCTAGGAAGCTTTTGAAGCTTGCGTTTTCTTTCAGCTCGGAACCCAGAGACTCCAAGATCCCTTAATTAAGGAATATACCTTAAATCATGTTAAGGATCCTACTATAATTTTAAGGAATATTCTTTAATTAAGGAATATTGCAGTCCCTGGGAACCTGCTTAAACATGTGGGAGCCTCAAGTCTAACCCACACAACAACTCCCTAAACCCCACAGCCATACCCGTACCCCTGGAGGAACCCTTACAGGACCCGCCATCGTCACCCTTGAAAGTGGTCTCTAAACCCTAACCCTTCGAAGCCTAAGACAGGGGCCTTACTAATTCGAACAGGGTTTTGGGGTATATTATACTATAGCTACAATAAGGAACCCCCAAACCCTATTCTAATTATTACTTCGCCAATAAGCCAGGGAAATAAAAGGTTAAACTTTCAGATTACTACTAAATTATAAGAGCCCAAAAAGTTTAAAGGTTGGGTATTGGAGAACTAAGAATCATTAAGGCCCCGTAGATCGACCTCCGGGTCTCTGCGTCACCCGGGTTTCTTCAGGCCTTCCCAGTCAGGGCAGACATGTCCCCGGCAAGGGCAGACACGGCGATGCCCTCGGGCGTTTCCAGCTCCTCAGATCACCGGTTCAGGGTTTAGGGTTTCGGGTAACCCCCCTATTTTGCACAAACTCCGATTCGCCGCAGCACATCGCACTCAAATAGGATAATGCATTGGTGCTCCAGTGCGCAGCGCTGCCAGACTGCGGCACTTTCCACAAAGATTCCACCCTTAATCTCATGACCTGTCGATACCAGGCGTCACCCGCGCTGAAGCAGCCGGGAAACTTGGCCTGCCAGAAGATCAGGGTACGAAAAATCTCTTACGGTAAGATCCAACCTACTTCTATATATATATATATATGTGATATATGATACATATATATATATATATGTTGCAGTTTGGCAAAGCATGTATGTACGCGGTTCGGACTGTACCCGGGCCGGGTAAGGGTCTGACTACAGACGGAAGTTACGAGGGGAGAGAAAGTGAAGAGCAGCAAATAAACCCCGAAACCCTCACACCCTCACACCCTAAACGCCTCAAGGGTCTAGGGCTTTAGGAGTTTAGGGTTTAGGTTTGGGGAAGCTCGGGAATCTTCTCGTTGTATGTAAGTACATCGGTTCGGTATCGGGTTCGGGGCTGGGGGTTTAAGGGTCTATACGTTTTTGGACTTCCGGACGCGCGTTTCCCCATCCCCTGCATCAGCAACTGCCTGAACGTGCGAGAGCACGGATTTAGGGTTGAGGCTTAAGGATGTAGGCTACGGCTACGGGATTAAGTTCCCCTGGCTCTGCGGGAAACCAAGTCCAACAGAACCAACCCCAGGCCCTGAGAGCTACACAAAGATAATCAAAATAGACAGATGTCAACAATATTCAAAAGCTCAAAAAGCCATGACTGCCACGACGACGCAGGACAACAACACAACATAATATCAAGAGCATCCTCGAAACCCGAAGCCCTAAACCCCAAAGACCCTAAAAAAAGCCCTCAACCCTAAAAACCCTACACCGGAGGGCCCGAAGCCTAAAAACCCTAAGCCCTAAAACACCTTGAATCCTTTGTGCTAAGAGTTAGGGGGACCCTTGGGGATATAGACCCTCTCGATAAGGGTCCCTCTTAAGAGAGCCGTAAGTAGGCTTAAGAGGAGTCCGTTTTCAGGGGTCTCCATAACAACAACCAAGGATGCGCCTCCAGGCTTGCTGCCAGAAGCAGCGTGGCCTCACGACGCTTCTCGGCCTGGGGAGCAGATCTAGTGCTTCTGGCTTCGGGATTTGGCGCACGCTTTAGGTCTAGGGCTGATAGAGCTTATAGGGTTTAGCGTTCATCGGGTGTAGGGGTTTAGGGTTTATAGGGTTTAGGGATTATAGGGTTTATGGTGTAGGGCAGTGTTTAGGGCCGTTTAGGGTTAGATTGGGCTGCCAACCGTTTACGGTGAGGCTACATATTGGTTCGGAGGCTTGTCAGACGCTGGGTGGGTACCTAGAGACTCCAATATTCCTTAATTAAGAGATATTCCTTAAATTATAGTAGGATCCTAAATATGATTTAAGGAATATTCCTTAATTAAGGGATGTTGGAGTCCCTGGGATCATCGAACAGCGATCTGTTCCGGCTGGCGTTCGCGCGGTTGGTCCAAGTATGATGGGTTTGCGAAAGGCCGCCTTACCTGGGTCGCGGCTTCAGAGCTCGACTTGAACATGCATTCAAAACCCTAGGGTTTTTTGCCTCCTACATAGCAAGGACGAGCCCGCATTGCAGGGTAACCCAAAAATCTAGGGTTCTAGGGTTTAGGGTGGGTACTAGGGTTTAGGGTTAAAGGTCCCGAAACCCTAAACCTTTCGGTCTGACACAAGCGAGCCCCGTGAGCCATCCAGATGCTGAGAAACCCGCTATACCTATAAGCAGACGCGGAGCCCAGGGACTCCAATATCCCTTAATTCAGGAGTATTCCTTAAATCATATTAAGGATCCTACTATAATTTAAGGAATATTCCTTAACTAAGGAATATTGGAGTCTCTAGGAACAAAGAAAAAGCACAGGGGTTGTTTGCAGGTTTGGGCTCATGTAAGGTACCACATGGATATACCCTGAACTACGTAGCCAAGGGCCTCAGCATGAACATCAAAACTTGACATCTTCAGCACCCAACCCCCTCAAAATAGAATCCTGCTTCACGAAAGGTGTTGATGGTGCATTCGCGCATAAATAAGTAAACAAATAAGTAAATACAACATATATATATATATATGCACACACCCATATGTGTGTGTATATATATATATATATACGAACATGTATATGTATAATTGGCTTGGTTCAAGGTTACGGGCTTGGGTCATATCTGCAGCGCGTATGATGTCAAACCTTGCGGACCCAATGGAGCAGGACACCTGTGAGGAGATAATGATGAGCTCCTTCGCGGAAGCTCGTTGGGCTTGACGCTCCTGGGTAGCATCCAATGAAAAGAGGCCGCAGGCCGTAAACCCTGGCCTTTCACTCTTTGGGATGTCTTTCTAGCTAGCGGTGAGGGTCTAGGTTTTGAAGGAAGCTAGAGCGTGCCCCTGTGTACATCGTCGAATCGTGTCTGGTTCCCATGGCCCCTCGACCGACATGCACAAAACGAACAGCTCAAAATCGAACACTTCAGTGCTGATAGGTCGAGAGTTGCTGTATGCCTATCTTTAACCCAATAACCTACAACCTTAACCCTAAACCGAGGACTCAAGAGCCCACCAGCAGGCCAGAGCAAAAACCAAGACAGGTTTCGAAAGAACCAGCAGCCTGAACCTTTCACTCGTCACCCCATCCTCTTGCACCCCTAAACCCCTAAATCCTAAACCATCCTCACCCCTGAAGCCCTTAACCCCTCAATCGCAGGCCGCGCCACCCGCTCGAGAGCCTCATCGGCATTCAGATGCTCGCGGACGTTGAACGCCTGAGGGTCATTGCGGGGGAGTCAGTGTTAGTCAGGGTTGAGGCATAGGGATTCGGGTTTAGGGTAACTGGGGCAATGCAGGTTTTTTTTTTTTTTTTATGGGCCCTTTTCCAACTGCAGGACAGTTTAGAATTCCTTACCAGGAGGA